TGAAAGACTTCATAGGTACAAGAGCTCAATATTGATACTACACATGAGGCTTTCAGGTTAATAAAAGCAGTTGGATGGAATACAGTATAGTAGGCCACGGGGGACACAGTAAATAATGTATGTCCTAGACAAGCAGTTTTGTGGGCCTGAAGGCTTCTTTGCATTACACAAAAGATGTGCGCCTGCACTTTCCTGTATTTTTTTTTCATATTTCATCTGTAAAAGATGAAAGGTATTTGCATATCTAAAAAGCAGAACGTGGGAAATTTAATTTTTGGACAACTGGACTATGCTAACTAGAGGATGCTGGGAGTTGTAATTCAAAATAATAACTTCTCTGATATTTTCTAAATATATGCTAGGCAACTAGTAAAGAATTTACTTTTAATTTTTATGATGAATCCTACTTTTTTCCCTAAAAGGTAATTACACAAAGTAATTGTGAACATTACTATGTGTGGGCTGCTCCAAGAAGAAAAAAAGTAACTTAATTAAATTACAAAGTCATCTTAAGCACCCCCTATTTATAATCTTACAAAGCAAATAGAGAAAGCTAAAAGACAGGCCATGTGGCTGTCTGAAATTAATCCAATATACAAATTCTAAACATAAATAAAATCAGAAACACTAAAAGAAGCCTCAAGCAATAACCTGGAAAAAAGTACTGACTTCTATGTGTACACATGTACAAGCTTCAAATCCTGCACACCCTGCTGCTATCCATGAACAGCACACTGCATTGTTAGCTGAGGAAAGATACTATCTTTTCTCTAATGTAATTTGGAGACAAACCTACATAAGACAAAGAACAACAATTAGATGCATGATTAGTTCCAGTTATAGCTGATTAATGAGTAAGAGAGTTGCATATCATTGGCTGTTTCTATTAGCTGATTGTCCCATGCCCATTCCTTATTACCACCACTGTGGTTGACAGCAAAGGGTTTCTCCCACCCATAAATTTAAAAATTTACAATGATTGCACGTTCAGGATCCACAAACTGAACCACTGTATTAGAATATTTTATGACAGGGCAGGCATGGCCCATACACACTGCTCACCAGCTGCAACCCTTGCCACATCCCACACCCATCTGTTTTGTTACCTTAAAAAAATACTCAGCATGCCCCCACTACACACTCTAAGTACATTTCCCCCTCCCCCCGAAAAAAATCTCCATTGTTTTATTCCTGGGAGATGCTCACTGTGAACCAGGCGATACATAGGAATTCACTAAAGCAGCCCAATTGTCCAAAATATGGTAAGGCTTTCTTCATACTCCTTAGAGGAAACACTCTGAGTTTAAAAAAAAAAAAACTAAAAACTAAAAATGGAGGTGGAGGCTTTTGAAAGGGAATATGCAGCTTGTGAGCTACACATTTTTCTCTATATCTTATACCAATTGCTAACAGGAGTTTACAAAATCACATAAGGTACCATGAAAACTCATTTAATTCACCAAAATGTCAAGCAGTATTGGCATGTGGTGGTGTCATTTTTTTTCACTTATGGTGACCCTAAGGCAAGTTTCTTCTGAGGAGGTGTTTTCTAGGCAAGTTTCTTCTGAGGAGGTGTGCCACTGCCATCCTCTGAGGCTGAGAGGGTGTGACTTGTCCAAGGTCACCCAATGGGTTTTATGCTCTAGCAGTGAACTGAACCCTGATCTCCAGAGTTGTAGTCCAATGCTCAAACCACTACACCACTGTTATACTTAAAATACTGTTATCCCACTTTTCCTGAGCTTGAGACAGCTTACAAAAAAATATTTTTGAAAATAGATCATATAAAAAAATGTTTAAATGTTTATTATGAAAACTGGCCATTGTCAAGAAATATGAAGCAAAAGATGACACACAAAAAGGAGAGTTTTCCTTTCAATTAGGTACATCCTGACCTTTGAGATAGAGTCTGTAGGCTTTCTTACAAATGATGGCTATCACACTACAATATCATACCAATATCCTTAATACTCTGCTACAAGTATCAGAAAGCCAACCCATTTAACTCAAATTCCACTTATAGCATGCTTTGTCCTGAACAATGCTTTGAGGTTTCTTGTCCTTTTTGTTCCAAACTCATGTTCATTTCAGATTCAGTTTCAAATGACAATCTAGCTTTAAATGCAACTTATAAAACATTAAATGCATTTGCATATATAAAATTAGGGGATTTAAATTAAGAAGAAGCATTAACTTAAATCATAACAAATATTAAAAAATCCAAATTTTTTTGGAAACAACTACAAAACCTTCAAGTTCTACTTTATGAATCAATAGTATTCTAAACTCAGATGCCCATTTTGGAAAAGTTCACTGCTGTAAAAATGTTAAATCATGCAAAGCATGTTTTGTAAGATGTTCTGTAAGAAAATATTATTTTCATAAGCTGTAAGAGCACTGTAATAAACAGACTTTTTCTTCGTTTCCATCCTCCTTTCCTGCTTTTTGTAAAAGACAAGCCTGACTGCCTCCAATAGTCTTAGAATATGCATTGCAACAGATGTTTAAAAATTCAAATAAAAGAACCCTTTTATTCGAAAACAGATAAACAATCCTAAATCTGGTATCAGGAATAAGTAACCATGCCACAAAAACAATTGCTAAAAGCAAATTAAATAAATTCATTGGTTCCCAAAATTTAGGCATCAACAGGTCCTGATGAATTAGCCATGTTCTGAGACGATCCTTCTTTCCATTAGCACAGGGGCCACTTTGCACCCCATTGCCTTCTGGAAAGCCACAGCAACCTGTCTTAGCCAAACCCCATTGTTAAAAAACCAACCATTTGGGGACATTTTCTGGAAGGGGAGGTAAATGGAGGTTTAAAGGTCAAAAAAACCAAGCCTCCATGTTTCTGTGGTAGTTTGGGTGGCTTTGCCCCCCAAAAAAATCTCAATTTGGAATGAGGCTGAGGGGTCCATAAAAATTCGTGCCAGCATTTCCTCCTCTGTTCAAGCATGTCCTCTTGAATACATATTTCTATATTATTTATTTATATCCTGCCTTTATCCTGTTATAGAGACTAAAGGCAGTTAACAACAAATTTAAAACAGTAGAAGTTAAAAACAACACAAAAGCAGTGAAATGTAGATACAAAGTTCAAAAAAATTAAACAATTTTAAAAATTTAAAAATATTACACATTAAAAACTAAAATTCTATACAAACTTCAAATTATGAATTACACAGCATTTAAAAGCCCAACCGTCATCAGTCTGAAAAGCCTGACAGCACAAGAACATTTTTACCTGCCACCAAAAGGAGAACAGGTTTGGGGCAAGCCTGTATTCTCTAGGGAGGGAATTCTAGAGCCTGGGAGCAGCCACTGCAAAGACCCTCTCCCTTGTTCCCACCAAACAAGCCTTGATGGTGGGACAGATAGAAGGGCATCTCCTGATGATTTTAGTGCTCTAATGGGCTCGTAAAGGGAGATACAGTCCTTTAAATAACCTGGACCCAAACAATTTAGGGGTTTATATGTCAAAACCAGTACTTTGTATTGTGCCCGGAAACAGACTGGCAGCCAATAATGATAATGATAATAATTTTTATTTATTCCCCGCCCCTCTGCCAAGCAATCAGGGCGGCTTACAACATTAAAATCCAACAAATATATTGCAACATTTATAG